TATATACGGAGTAATACTAATATTAACTTATATTACCGTGGTCTCCAACCAGCCGCCGGATTCCATCAAGGAACTCCACCACTTCTTAACAATACCGTGGGACTCTCCCCTCTTTTCCATGATACACTGAACTTCTCTCCCGTCAGCAATTGCCGACTGCATGAATTGATGGAAGGCCTCAAGTTGTTGGCTAGATGGGTTCATTCGTATGTTGAGTTGCTCTTCTTCGGCTTTATCCAGCTCATTTGATACATCACTATTAATAACCTTTACCTTTTTAAGTACATTGCTGAAGTAGGGGCTCGATATATGAATACTTCGTTTCTTCTCCCAGAGACCTCGACCCAATTCCTGGATGTTGAAAGTAATATGTCAAGGATAAGTAAGTTTAATTCAATAATACTCAAATTAAATCGTACCCGTGCAACAGCGACTTCATCCACATCTGTCAGTTCTCTCAAGACGTCAACATCGAACTCAACTTTCTACTCAGAATTTATAAGGAATAAGCATTAGGGAGGATCACAAATGAAAATATCAGAATATAAGTTTATTACCTTATCAACATTGTTTTCAGTTGATTTGCAGAATTCAACAACATCATGGACAATTTTATCACTCATTGCCATCTCATTTTCATTGGCCTCTCCCTCAACTGCAAGCTTTTCCTCTTCTTCTTCCTGACAATTGGAAACAAAATGCTTTACAAAAGGTTCAAAACATAAGAACATACTTTGGTGACCATAAAAATCATCGAAACAAAAAAGATCGACGAATGGGGTCGACCAAGTTACCTGGATTGGTGGAGACCTATTCTTTACTTTAAATTGGTCAACCTCTTCTTCATCTTTCTCTTCAGGAATTCCTTCAAAACTGGAGAGCTTGACCATATTGTCTGCAATAGGCTCATCTTCTTCCTTCCCATCTCCTTCTTTCCCATCTTCTTCTTTCCAATCATTTTTTTCCTCTTCATTATGGTCAACCCCGTCAAAACTATAGGGGTCGACCTTATTCTCTCCCATCGGCTCTTCTTCCCTCCCATCTTTAATAGCATCTTCTTTATGGTTCACCCATTCAAAACAAGGGGGGTCGACCTTCTCATCTTCCTTCCCATCTTCATTATGGTCCACCCCTTCATGTATAGAGTGGTCGACCTCATTCACTTCCACCACCTCTTCTTTCTTCTTATTGTATTCCTTCAAAAGACGCTATGTCTCCGTGCATTGGCAGCGTTTAGTGCATTGATTATGGCTCCGTGCGACGGCTTTTTTGAAATATTATTTTTCCAGAGACACATTCTCGGAAGTGCTGGATTTGTTTGCTCCATCTTCACTCCAAATGTCTCTCCAAAATCATTAATGCACTCAAATAGGAGAAACTGCATTCAGCAATAAATGAAGCCCAATTTAGCCATCTCCTTATAGGAACTTTTAGTATCAATTTAAATTAATTTACTCACAGATGAGGGGAGGACAAAGCCAGTGTATCGGAGGGTGTTTGATGTTTTCCCGCCTTTGACAAGTTTCTTTTTTTCTGAAACTAAGTCCTTCCCCAAAGATTGGATACGGAGGGACTCTTGGAATGCCCATGTCCCCCATGGGAAAGACATGGAATCATCAGAGTTTGCAACAGTGGCAAGGATCCATTTCGGAACTGGGGCATCTTTCTTAGCATGACC